CCCCCGCCTCCGCCCCCGCCCCCGCCGCCGCTGCGCCCTTCTGTTTCTTCTTCCCGCCCTTTGGCGCCGGAGCAACCGAAGGCGGCGCCTCCAAAAACGCTGCCGCCGCCAGCACCCCCACCCCGCGCGCCACCAGCTCGTCTGACGCCGCGGGGAACCGCAGCGCAGCGCACAGCTGCTCGACCGCCCGCCCCCGCGCCGCCTCGGCGCCCGCCTCCGCGGCCGCCTGCCGCCGCGCGGCGCCGCCGCCGCCCTCCTCCTCCTCGTCCTCCTCATCACTGCTGCCGTCGCCGGCCGCGCCGGCGCCGTCTGTCGGCGGCGGCGATTTGAACGCCGCGATCAGCCGGTCAACATATGACTCGACGCCCGCCGCGTCGAGCCCAGCCAACAGCCGCGCAACGGTCTTGGTGCCTGTGGCGGCGTCGAAGCCCGCGCCGCCGCCCGCGCCCCCGCCCTGCAGCGCAGCTGCGAGCGCGAGCCGCAGCGACGCGTCGCCGGCGGCGGCGGCGCCGGCGCCACCGCTGCGCTCGCCCAGCGTCGCGATGCGCTCCTGTGGGCGGGGTCAGGGGACAATGTACAATGTGTCGAGGGGCCGGAACAACGCAGCCGTTTAGTGCGCGGCCGTGAGGAATCGCATGTGGCCAGGCGCCCGTCTCGAGTGGTTGTGTTGTTGGATTGGCTGTAAGCAGCCCTGATCTAGGGGCAGCAAAGGCCGACTCGAACGCCGGGCCACCGGGGCACACACCCGGCAACCTGCCCGAACTCTCAACATCACACAATCACATCAGATCAGAGATCACCAGATCGCCGCGCATCGCTCACCGCGCAGCGCTTGGCGCTGGCGTGCAGGTAGGACTTTTTGTCCCGCAGCGCCGCCGCCAGCAGCCCCACCACCCGCCCCCCCAGCACCGCAGCCACCCCCTCCGGCGCCAGCCACGGCAGCAGCAGCTGCAGCAGCGTCAGCGCGAGCGCGCGCCGCTCGTGGCTCGCGCCGCCGAGCAGCGGGCCCTCGACGGCGGCGCCCCAAAACGCGGCGACGAGCGCCGGGTCCGCGGGCGCCTTCGCGGCAGCTTCCGCGCCGGCGTCGCCGGGGCGCGCCTTGCCGGCTGGGGAGAAGCCGGGGAGGAGCAGGGCGAGGA